GCATCTCAGCACAGAATGTCCCCGACTAAGGATTTATCCCCGAGTTCTTGGCTTGCTGCAGCAGAACCCCTTCCTTCCTGTGCCTGGGTGTCCCCATCTGCACACAGGAGCAGTGACACAGATCTTTGAGAAGCCCTTGGAGCTCTGAGTTGATGAAAAGGTTCACGGAGAGGAGGTTGTTGTCGTTGTTGTTGTTGTCTGCAGTTTAAAAACATGCCCATAAATCACCTTTCAGGGATGGGGAAGCAGGTTCCAGATTGGCTCCCGAGCTGGGTGAGTGAACAGAGAAGAATTTCCTTCTTTGGCATTTTCCCCTAGTTTTAATAACTTTGAACTCTTGCTTTAGATCTTGTTTACATTAGGCTGGTTCAGTAACTGTGTGTCTCCCTCCAGCAATTGTCTCCTTCTTCCCCACCTTCCTCAGGTATTTGGTTTAGGTACCAAACATCTGACTCAGGTCTTCCTGGAGAATGGCTGAAGAAATTATTTTTCCCAGTTGGAAAGTAGAGGGACTTAACAGGGGAAAGAGGTGGAGGCCGTGACTGTCATGGACACGGGCCCTGGGAACATAAAAATCTAGGCTGTTACCACACCCTGTTGAAATGTTAAACACAAACTGTACAGATGGGGTGTGCTAACAATGTTGGGGTCAGGGGATGGCAGCGGGTCCTTTTAGGATGTAGAAGCTCAGAGGGTGCAAAGCTCAGCTCTGCTTTGTGCTGGGGTGGCCTCACCTCGAGTCCTGGGGGTGTTTTGGGCACCACGATATAAAAAGGATGTAAAGGTGTTGGAGAGCGTCCAAAGGAGGGGCACAGGGATGGTGAAAAGCCTGGAAGGGCCATATGAGGAGTGGTTGAGGGCACTTGGCTTGTCCAGCCTGGAGGGGACTGAGGGGAGGTTCATTGAGGGCTGCAGCTCCTCTCGAGGGGCAGCTCCGACCTCTGCTCGCTGGGAGCAGGGACAGGACCCAGGGAAGGGCTGGAGCTGGGACAGGGCAGGCTCAGGGTGGATCTCAGCACAAGGTTCTTCCCCCAGAGGGTGCTGGGCACTGACCAGGCTCCCCAGGGCAGTGGGCACGGCCCCAAGGCTGCCAGAGCTCCAGGAGGGTTTGGACAATGCTCTGAGGGACAGGGGGGAGTGTTGGGGTGTCCTGGGCAGGGCCAGGGCTTGGACTGGGTGATCCTTGGGGGTCCCTCCCAGCTCAGGATATTCCACGATTCAACCATTTAATCCTATGTCTGCAAATAGTGACTTAGTGTGATTTCCAGCTCCTGGCCCAGGAAACACCTCTCCATTTCCGCGGGGCAGGCGGGGGGAGCATCCCCTCATCCCGAGGGGGGACCACATCCCCTCTCCGCCGGGCAGAGGACGCGGGGAGGCAGCGGGACAGCCGGGAAGGGCTCCTCGGGACAGCCGGGAACGGTTCCTCGGGGCTCCTCCTGTGACCCGCTGGATTCCCCGGCAGATGGAGCTCGGCTCCCAGCGATGCTGCCTCAGCCCTTCCTCGAGATTCCACCACCACCGACCTGCAACATTCATCCCAACGTCTGACCACTCTCGTAGGGAAAAGCTGTTCTAATCTCCAATCTGAACCTGCCCTGGTGCAGTTTGAGGCCATTTCCTCTCCTCCTTTCCGTCGGGACATGGCAGCAGAGCCCGACCCCCCTCCCTGCCCCCTCCTGTCAGGGAGTTGGGGAGAGCAATGAGGTCCCCCCTGAGCCTCCTTTTCTCCAGATAAACCCCCCCAGCTGGTGGGATTTCCCCTGGACCTGGAGCTGCTCCCCTCCTGACATTCTGGGTGGTCAGTGGGACTGGAAGGGATTTATTTATTCTCAGGCTGCCCTCTCCGAGGGTTCTCACCCCCCAGGCAGCCTCAGGGCCCCTCAGAGCTACAAGAAACTGGTATTGGACACAAGTAATTATCATAAGATTCACCGAATGTTAAAGGGTTGGGAGGGACTCTGAAGATCATTTAGTCCAAACTTGCCCTGCCGTGGACACAGACACCTTCCACTAGCCCAGCACTGAGTAGGGGCAGTGAAATCCAAGGAAGAAAAGGCTCCAGCACAGAGCTGAGATGAGGTGGGTTGTTTTAAAGCTTCTGACAGCGGCAGATCTCTAAACCTGAAGGAAGAAAATATTCTTGCCTTAGTTTTCCTGTAAGAGGCTTTCCCAATTAACTGAGCCCTCACGTGGCAGGAAGGTGTTGTATGGCTGGGCTTGGGCCCGTTCCCAGAGAATCCTGACCTTTCCAGGCATACAGGCCAGCTGCAAACACGCCAACCAGACATCCAGACAAATCCCAAAATCCTTCTGGGGAACAAGTTTCAACAAGTCTTGATCAAAACTGTCAGGAGCCGTAAACACATCCAGACGGGAAACAGCTCAGAACTACTTCCCGTTGCCACCTTAGACCCGGAAGCTTGGAAAATGCTGGAAGTTGATTGTGTATCAACTCATAGGCTGGGCTGTCTGCAGGACTGGGCTGGGGCTGGAATGCCAGCAGCACATCAGGAGCCCCGGCAGGAAGATGGGAAGGGCAGGGATCAGTGTTGGGCCCAGTTCTGTTTAATATCTTTATTGATGATTTAGATGAGGGGATTGAGTCCATCATCAGCAAATCTGCAGATGACACCAAGCTGGGGGGGAGTGTTGATGTGCTGGAAGGCAGGAGGGCTCTGCAGAGGGACCTGGACAGGCTGGAGGGTTGGGCTGATTCCAATGGATGAGGTTCAACCAGGCCAAGGGCCGGGTCCTGCACTTTGGCCACAACAACCCCGGCAGCTCCAGGCTGGGACAGAGGGGCTGGAGAGCAGCCAGGCAGGAAGGGAGCTGGGAGTGGGGATGGACAGGAAGCTGAATCTGAGCCAGAGTGTGCCCAGGTGGTCAAGAGGGCCAATGGATCCTGGCCTGGCTCAGGAACAGTGTGGCCAACAGGTCCAGGGAAGTGATTCTGCCCCTGGACTCAGCACTGGTGAGGCCACCCCTGGAGTGCTGTGTCCAGTTCTGGGCCCTCAGCTCAGGAAGGACATTGAGGGGCTGGAGCAGGTCCAGAGGAGAGCAACGAGGCTGGGGAAGGGACTGGAGCACAAGTGCTGTGAGGAGAGGCTGAGGGAGCTGGGGCTGTTCAGCCTGGAGAAGAGGAGGCTCAGGGGAGACCTCCTCACTCTCTGCAACTCCCTGACAGGAGGGGGGAGCCAGGTGGGGGTTGGTCTCTTTTCCCAGGCAACCATCAGCAAGACAAGAGGGTTGGGTGTTCAGCTGTGCCAGGGGAGGTTTAGGTTGGATATTAGAAAGAATTTCTTTGCAGAGAGGGTGCTCAGCCACTGGAATGGGCTGCCCAGGGAAGGGGTGGATTCTCCATCCCTGGAGGTGTTTAAGGACAGACTGGATGTGGCATCAGTGCCATGGGCTGGGAACCACAGTGGGGTTGGATCAAGGGTTGGACTTGATGATCTTGGAGGTCCCTTCCAACCCAGCTGATTCTGTGATTTTATGATTCTGTGATTCTATGATTCTAAGGCTCTGACTCCCAGGGCAGCCAATTCCTACTCCTTCAGCAACATCCAGAAGGTGAGTACTCATTGCTTGTCTGCCATTCTTGCACATCCAAACTCCTGGAGTGCCAAAGCCTTTGCCAGCCGGGATCTGTGAGGTGGTCTGAGCCCTGTCACAGCAGGGTTTGTCACCTCTGACGTGCCAACCCTGGGATTTGGGGCTGTTTTTTACTCAGTCGAATCCAAACCTTTCCAAAAAATCATAAGAAGGTACCAGATGTGTTTGTTTTATTTACACTTTATTTACATTTTACTTGTATTTTATTTACATTTGTTTACATTTGATTTGCACGTTGCTGACATTTATTTACATTTGATTTGCACACTATTTACATTTTAGTTACATGTACATATTTACATTTCATTTACATATTTATATTTTGTTTACATATTTATAATTTTGCACATTTATATTTTATTTACATATTTACATTTTTGTTCGCACGTTTACATTTTTATTTACACTGACACATTTATATTTTATTTACATTTTACCCTCTGCATTTTTGCTCCCATTTAAGGAGCAAACGAGTTACCCCTCCCCTGGGAATGAGGAAAAGCTGTCCCAGTGGGGAGATGATGTCGGTTACAACATCTGGGACAAACCCTGGCACCCGGAGAACGCCGGGGACTCCTTTGGCCAAGAGTTTTCCCGACTGGGAAGAACACAGCGAGGAAGAGCAGCCCCAAGGACAAGGCAGCAGCTACCAAAAACTGCCCAGCTGGGAAGAAACCAGCACGGAAGGGCAGTCCCAAGGAAAATTCAGTAGCTACCAAGAACTACTGTCTGACTGGGAAGAGCTGTCCCAAGACCAAGAGTCTGTTGGACAAGAGTTTTCCCACTGGGAAGGCTCCAGACCCTCCACGCTGTCCCAGTGGGAAGATGACAGCGACAGGGAGCTCGCACTGCAGGACTGGGAACACACGGCACGGGAGGGGGCTCGGGGCTCTGCAGGGCTCTTCCTCTCCCCTGCTCTCACTCCTCACTTCTGGGAGCGCAATTCCACCTTTGCCAGAACTTTATTTTCCCCTCTCCAATCCGTTCTCCCGGAGGCGTCACTGCCGTCTCTGCTGGGCTCGGCCTTGCTCCGTCCTGGACCCGGCTGGGCTTGGGGGAAGCTTCCAGAAGTTGCTCACAGAATCCACCCCTGAAGCCCCCCTGCTACCAAAACCTGGCCAGGCAAACCCAAAACAGAGTTTTCAGGGAGCAGAGATCCATCTGCAGCCCTTGGAGGTCAAAAGGGAGCAGAGATCCACCTGCAGCCCCCGGAGGTTCACAGGGAGCAGAAATCCCCCTGCAGCCCCTGGAGGAGCAGAGATCCACCTGCAGCCCCTGGAGGAGCAGAGATCCATCTGCAGCCCCTGGAGGAGCAGAGATCCACCTGCAGCCCCTGGAGGAGCAGAGATCCATCTGCAGCCCCTGGAGGAGCAGAAATCCCCCTGCAGCCCCTGGAGGAGCAGAGATCCACCTGCAGCCCTTGGAGGTCAAAAGGGAGCAGAGATCCTTCTGCGGGCCCTGGAGGAGCAAAGATCCATCTGCAGCCCCTGGAGGTCCATGGTAGAGCAGAGACCCACCTGCAGCCCCTGGAGGAGCAGAGATCCACCTGCAGCCCCTGGAGGAGCCCCCTGGATCAGGGGGATGCCCAAAGGAAGCTGCGACTCCGTGGGCACCCCACCTGGAGCAGGGTCCTGGCAGGGAAGTGCAGTCCATGGAGAGAGGAGCCCAGGCTGGAGCAGGGAAAGGACTCTTCTCCCTGAGCAGTGACAGGAACAGTGTGTGATGAACTGATCAGAAACCCCATTCCACATTTTCCCCACATTATACAGCAGTAATTTCTTTATTATTTATTTATGATTTATGCACTGTGCCTTTTGAACCCCACCTACAACAGACTAGGGCAATAAAACTAGTTTTCTATCCCAAACAGGCTAAAAACATAGTTTGTTTAGCACTAAACAGACCAAATTTTTTACTCTGTTTGGGATAAAAGACTAAACCCTGTGTGTTTGGTCTCACCTCTCACAAAACTGATCCCAGCGTCTCCACAGGTGATTTTTGCCCTGGTGCACCCATGTGGTGACTTTGATTCACCTGCCCACAGCAATTCAGGCTGGTTTCCCAATGGATTTGGAATTCCATTTTCATTATTTAGCAGCAATTTATTGCTTCTTTGTTCACACTGATTTAAATAAATACACTACTACTACTACTAAAACTACTCCTAAAATAAATCAAATAAAGTAAAAATAGAGATAAATGAAAATAATAATGGTGAAATATTATATTATTAAAATTACAATTGTTATTATGTTTTATGTTTACATTTTCATGTAAATAATAATAAAAATAAAAAAAAGATACTGCCTTGTATCTGTTAAAATCTAGGCCACTGTTGCAATGCAGTTTTCCAGAAAACTACACAGAAAATAAAGACAGAAAGCTGTTCAAATTACTTAAGAATTTGTGACATGGGCAAACGGGAATGATTGGTCCTTCAGAGACTTTTGGTGGCCACAGGAGCCATAAAGGCTCTTTTTAGCTGTTTTCACACATATTTTGTCCACAAAAAAAAATAAAAAATCTACGAAAAAGCAGCTTCTAAATGTCCCACTGCAGAGGTGTGAGCAGCCAAGAAAACTGAGCCTGAAGTTTTTTGAAGACAAGAATTTTCATGCCAAAATGGTTATTTCATTTCATCCTCTGTTGTGGACTGTAAGGCCAGATGCAAAAAAAAAACCAAAAAGCCCTGGGTACCTGCAGGACAGTTTGTTCTCTTTGAGAGGTCATTTTTCTGTCCTTTTTAGTTAGTTTGAACTTCAGTTTCTGGACCTAGAACAATATTAGACGTTGCCTGTTGACACTCTTTTTCAATTTCAAGGGCTGGTTTCCAGGAATTCTCCCTTTCTTATGTGCCTGATGAAGCTGCTCCCTTTCTGTAAATGAATTAAAGACTGGAGTAGAGCTAACACTTTGAAGAACACCCTTATCTCCACTAAAGAGAAAACTAAGAAACAGGAGCATTACAGCAAACACATTAATAAAACCGAACGACTACAACCTCTGTCCATGGAACTACAGCAGCAGTGAGCTCAGGCAGGGGGCTGGGTTTAAAAGACCCACCAGCACAGTTTAGGTCAATCTAAGAAGTTTTCTTGAATACTGACATTTTAGTATGTTATTTTATTGAGAGATGGGCAACCAGTTAAGCAGTTTCAGCTTTCTTTGTGCCCTGTGAGCAGCTAAAACCTTCCCAGCACTGTGTGCTGTTTCCTACCTCGGTCAGGGCGAGGATGTCGGCTCCTCCCGCGGGCTCTGCTCTCCCGGGGGGCTTCTCCTCACAGGCCGGCTCTAAAAACTGAATGAAACAGCAGCGTAAGGCCCAAGGGAGCAAAGGAAGCACCGGGCCGATCATTTTAAAAAACGCCCCGGCAGTGACATTTCACGGCTGATCCCAAGCACGGCCAGGCTGCGAACACCCACCCCTGGGGCGAGCGCGAGATCCCCACACGGTGCTGAGCAAGAGTCCAGCACTGACTTGTATGAGGCCGGGACGAGCCCCGGTGAGGATTTAAAAGGGGGTTCGGGGATGAGGGCGATGCGGCTGAAGGTGATGTCTGAGGCCTGAGAGCGCGGGCTGAGGGCGAGGGTGCTGAGGGAGAGGTTTGAGGGTGATGGCGCTGAGGGCGAGTGCTGAGGGAGATGGTGCTGAGGGTGAGGGCTGAGGGAGATGGCTAAGGGGCGATAGCTGAGGGTGATGGCGCTGAGGGCGATGGCGCTGAGGGCGAGGGCTGATGGCGATGGCACTGAGGGTGAGGGCTGAGGGCGATGGCGCCGAGGGCGATGGTTGATGGCGACGGCGCGAAAGGGCGAGGGCGCCGAGTCCCCTCCCCGTGTCTCCCCTCGCCTCCCCGGCGCCACGCGGAGAGCCCCCGGTGCCGGGGCTCGGTCCCACCTGCCAGAAGGGCGCTGCCGATGGATCCCCGCCCGCCGGGGCCGGGGGCAGAGGGGCCGCCGCCCGCCGAGGCGCGTTGTTGTTGTTCAGGCTGCAGAAGGGGTTGCGGCGGGCGGGCGCGGAGGGGCCCCGCGGGGCCGGGGCGGCGGCGGCGGCGGCGGTTTCGCTCCTCCGCGGGCGTTTGCGCTTCAGCCGCAGCATCGCCGGCGGCCTCTGGAAGCCGGGCGGGTCCCCGGG